ACCTCTTACAGTGCTGCCTGCCATCCCTCCTGCCTTGGGCGCCCCTCCACCCACCCAAACACCACCACCACCCCGCCTGCAGATCATCTTTGACCAGTTTGTGAGCAGCGGCGAGGCCAAGTGGCTGCGCCAGACGGGCCTCACGGTGCTGCTGCCGCACGGGTACGACGGGCAGGGCCCCGAGCACTCCAGCGCGCGCATGGAGCGCTTCCTGCAGGTGGGAGGGGTGGGGTGGGGCAGGGGAAGGTGGTGGGGGCGGCGTGTTGTGCAGTTCTTCTGTGGGTGGCTGTGCTGGTTCGGATGGTGTGTGTGTGCCTTACCGCACTCGGTACTGCCCATGAATACATTGCCCACCGCCCCCCTGTACCGTGTGGTACCGCCGCAGATGGTGGATGAGGACCCGTACCAGCTGCCCACCATCGACGAGTCCAAGTGGTTCATCGGTGGCCACCTGGGCTCCCAGATCCAGTCCTGCAACTGGCAGGTGGGCCCGGGGGGTGGGGTGGCGCGGGGCCCCCCTGCTCGTGGCGCAGCTGGCAGCCGCATGGTGCCGTCCCCCGCGCAGCCGTCGTGTGCAGGGGAGCTGTCCTGTCGCGTGCCCCTCCTTCCACGCCTCCCCTTCTCCCGCTCTCCACCCTGCCCTCCACGCCTGCGCCCCCTCCTCCCGATACGCGCACACACACACACACATACACGCGTGTACACCCCACCCCACCCCCGCAGGTCGTCAACTGCACCACCCCCGCCAACTACTTCCACGTCCTGCGCCGCCAGCTGCACCGCCAGTTCCGCAAGCCCCTCATCCTGTTTGCCCCCAAGAACCTGCTGCGCCACCCGCTGGCCAAGTCGCCGCTGGCGGAGTTCAGCGAGTCGGCGCTGGACAAGGACATACAGGTGGGGGCGGTGTGTGTGTGTGTGTGTGTGTGTGTGTGTGTGTGTGTGTGTGTGTGTGTTGAGAGAGGGAGAGTAGGGGGGGTGGTGTGTGGTGGTGGAGGGTCCTGGTGATGTGTGTAGGTGATGGCTTGATGTTGAGGTGATGGCGCGTGGTGGGCAGCAAGTTTCCCGGAGCGAGGGTGTGCGAAAGAAGAGGAGGCACGCTGTTTTCCCCCACCAGAATCCCCTACCATGGGGTGCCATGCCGCGGCACCACCCACGCCGACCACCCCTCGGCCCCGCCCCCGCACCCTGCCCCGCAGGGCGTGCGCTTCAAGCGCGTCATCATGGACGAGTCCTCCACCGACCGGTCCTTCGACCCGCCCAAGCAGGAGGGCTTCAAGCGCATGGTCTTCTGCTCCGGCAAGGTGCGGTTTGGGTGCGTGCCGGGTCTTGTTGATCGGATAAGGGGCCGCGCGCATGCCCTCACACGCACACGCACACAGCCCCCCCCAATGCCCTTTCTCACTCCACCCCACCCGACCACACCCTGTTTCT